AAATCTTACTTTCTTTCTTGATTCTGGATGACAGGAAAGTCTGAAACTCGCTCGGCACAGAAAGTGTGAAGAAGCTGTATGAAGAGAGGAAACATGTGTGATATATTTGACAGCTTGTCTTGATAAATGTCTGAATATGACATCATCAAGAGGTGATTAAAAACCATTGTTGGTAGATGTGCGCAGGAACTTTGAACAATCCATCCTGTACAAATCTCCTCTGATGCCCAGAAAGAGTTCACCTCCAAAACCACTGGAAGCCAAACTCTGAGGCTCTGCATTCATCTGCAGAGTACTACACACACACACAGAGTCACACACACACACTCACACACACACACAGACAGACACACACACACACACACACACACACACACACACACACAATATACACACACACAGATACACACACACACACAAACACACACACACACACACACACACACACACACACACACACACACACACACACACACACACACACACACACACACACACACACACAGATATACACACACACAGATACACACACACACACAGACACACACACACACTCACACACACACACACCACAGACACACACACACACACACACACACACACACACACACACACACACACACACACACACAGATATACACACACACAGATACACACACACACAGACACACACACACACACACACACACACACACACAGATATACACACACACAGATACACACACACACAGACACACACACACACACACACACACACACACACACAGACACACACACACACACACACACACACACACACACACACACACACACACACACATATACACACACACAGATACACACACACACACACAGACACACACACAGACACACACACACACCACACACACACACACACAGACACACACACACACACACACACACACACACAACACACACACACACAGAATACACACACACAGATACACACACACAGACACACACACACACACACACACACACACACAGACACACACACACACACACACACACACACACACACACACAGATATACACACACACAGATACACACACACACACACAGACACACACACACACTCACACACACACACACACAGACACACACACACACACACACACACACACACACACACACACACACACACACACACACACACAGATATACACACACACAGATACACACACACACACACACAGATATACACACACACACACACACAGAAGACACACACACATACACACACACACACACACACACAGAGTCACACACACACACACACACACACACACACAGAGACACACACATACACACACATACACACACAGACACACACACACAACAGACACACACACACACACACACACACACACACACACACACACACAGACACACAGATACACACACACACACACACAGATATACACACACACACACACACAGAGACACACACACATACACACACACACACACACACAGAGTCACACACACACACACACACACACACACACACACAGAGACACACACATACACACACATACACACACAGAGTCACACACAGACATACACACACACTCACACACACACACCACAACAGACACACACACACACACACACACACACCACACACACACACACACACACACACACCACACACACACAGAGACAGAGACACACACACACGACACACACACACACACACACACAACACACAGGACAGAGACACACACACACAGACACACACACACACACACACACACACACACACACACACACACACATATAAAGCTCTCCATGTTGCACATCAGGACAAACAGCTGGGAGTTCGAACCACCTGAGAAGTTTATTCTGCTCACTCCAGACACACACAGTCCGGTCCAGACTGCAGGACACACACACATCCAGATCAGACACACACACACACCTGAGAGAAAAACACAACTGCAGCGAGTCATTCACAAACAAATCAACAGATTCACACACAGGACTTTAACCGACCTGTTGATGTGGTCTGAGTGTCCCTCTGGGGGCGGGCTTCAGCCGGACTCTGCTGGAGGAGGTTTAAGGACCAGCTTGTAGTGCCACTGGGATCGTGGTGGTTCAGACCAGCGGGGCACAAGAGCCGCCAGGTGACCTGAGGCAGAGCGCAGTGTAGACTGACCTGCAGGCTCAGACACTCCTCGAGAAAGGGTTAACCTTCCACACCACCAAGGTCAAGTCCTCACCTGGGGGGAGGAGCCACAGGGTTACATCATCACACCGGACCAATGAACCAAAGAGGGCCGTGTGAAATACTGAACTACACATCAGAACTGGATCACAGACTACACATCAGAACCGGATCAGAGACTACACATCAGAACCGGATCACAGACTACACATCAGAACCGGATCAGAGACTACACATCAGAACCGGATCACAGACTACACATCAGAACCGGATCACAGACTACACATCAGAACCGGATCACAGACTACACATCGGAACTGGATCACAGACTACACATCAGAACCGGACCTGGTCTCTGGGTTTGAATGCAGACCTGTTGTCAGGAGGTAGCTGTGCTCGGGGTACACGTGCGTTGCGGTGACTCTCTGGCCGTTGTGCGCCGGCGTCCTGCACATGACCTTCCCGTCACTGAACCTCAGAACGCTCACGCAGCCTCCGGCGTGTCCGAGGACGATCAGAAAGCTGCAGAGTGAGGAAGAGAACGATGAAGAATCAAGAGAAGAAGAGATTCATAAAAAACAGATTTAAAGTCTTTATATGTGATGTTTTGATCCAGCAGATGTCGCCCTTGAGCACCAGCATGAAACCAAAACAACTGGCGCTGCATTGTTGTGTTAGCATGCTAATGCTAGCGATCTTTATTCTGCTGGTATCTTCACACTGCATGTAAATTTACCTGAAATGAGCGTGATCTAGAAACACAGTTAAGAGGTGAGTACAGTATGTTATTCTTCTTTTCTCTAGTCCCTCAATTAAACAACTTTTATACACGAGGGGAGGAGTCAGCCGGCCGTCCTGGCGATGTAAACAAAGTGAAGATAGGACTCTGAAAACTCTGAAAACATCACAGACAGTGGACTCGGGTGTTACACCCATTGTAGACAGTCATGACTCACAGAGTTATTTTCAGAGGAGATATTTGATTAAACAGAAGAAACTTCTCACATGTTCTTGTCATCGTGGAGATCTTTCTTCTTCCTCTGGCTGCTTCCTCTGCCGTCCTGCAGACTCCTCCACTCCTCCAGAGCGTTCTGTGTTTCTCTCACATGGCAGTAGAGTACCATGCAGCATGCCGCGCCGGGGACAGGCAGATTTTGGGCGTCCTCTTCAGTCACATGGTCTTTGCGCTGCCAGGGTCCCTGTCCCCTCCCCCGCCACTCATTCATCAAAGTGACCGGATTGGTCAGCGTGTTAGCTTGTAGCAGCGTCCCTGTATCGGTCAGCGCTAACAGGATCTCTTTCTGCAGGCAGTAGTCTGCACACGAAACCCTCTGCTCCACCCTGAAAGAAGTCAACAACGCTCCGGTTTCCGCGGCAACCAGTGAGATGTCCCCGTCGCCGCTCACACACAGAACTCTGGTGGGGAAGGGAGCAGGAAAGGAGGTGACTAGGATTTGTCTCAGAGGAGCTTTTTGGCGTCGTTCCAGTGCGCAGTGGAGTGTGTACAAGTTTCTGATGGACCAGAAGTCGACCCCGCGGCGAGAGAAGGAGAAGAAAGCGTCTCCCTTCCTCGTGCCACCGATGCTCATCGGAGGGTTGTCCCGCTCTGTGTGGACGCACTGAACCGCGTCACCGTCTTCCACGCTCCAGCAGCGGATGGAACAATCGTTTGCAGCCGACAGCAGCATGTTCAGAGACGGGCAGAAGAACAGAGAGGTCACAACACCTGGACAGAAAAAAACATTTAGTGACCTCATCTTAACCCTCATGACTCATTATGGACTTTTTTGTCCATTTGGTCAAATGTCTCCTCTTCATCTGTGCATCATTTTGTCTGTTAGTGCATATGGAACACATTTTTTGTAAGAAAGTTTCTCTCGACACATTTTGGAATGCACATTTTATTTTTTTTAATAGATCAATAGAACACTGAAACATGTTTACTCCCCTCTGAAGTCACTCAGGACAAACATGTCCACTTCCAAAAAACTGATCTAAAAATAGAACAGACTGATATTTCTTTCTACTTTTTTCTGCATAAATCTCTTAAACAACTTCAGCCCTGCTCAAAACTATCAAACATTGAATAATTATCAGGAATTTAACCCTTTAAATGCCAGAATCATGCAATCAAACTGGCATTTAAAGGGTTAAATTCCTGATAATTATTCAATGTTTGATAGTTTTGAGCAGGGCTGAAGTTGTTTAAGAGATTTATGCAGAAAAAAGTAGAAAGAAATATCAATCTGTTCTATTTTTAGATCAGTTTTTTGTCCTTTGTGATTTCAGAGGTTAGTAAATGAAACTGATGTCTGAGGGTTAAAGGAGCATAAAGAAAGTGAATGAACACTAAACCGTTACCTCCTTCAAAAGCCACGCGGCCTTCCCAATCAGGACCCCAGACCTGAATGGAGCGCTCTTGGGACGCCGTGATCAGACAGTCAAGCTGAGCGCAGAACGCCACAGCAGTGATATCTCTGAAACAGAAAGAGGTTCAACTCATATGCCGCCATTTCCACATTGTCTAAAAAGATTCAAAAGAACAGCACGCACCCCGAGCAGAGATCCGTCTTGTGCTCCAAAACCGTCCCGCCATCGAGGTCGACCACCGTCACCACATGTCCACACACAACGAAGGCCCTGTGAGGCTTCTCAAACCGTGGAGGAGCCAACGCCATGTGAGTGAACGTCCGGCGCCGCAGCCCTTCCTCCATCTTCAACCTGCACTTCATGAGCGTCACTGACCACACACACACATTCCCGGCGCCCGCCGTCACCAGCTCTGCAGAGTGCTCCGCGGCCTCACACACACGTATGTCCAGGGCGTCCCGAGCGGCCTCCAGGGGGCGTAACTCGTCGTCCAAGAGTGTGAAGACGGGCCCTGGACCCCAGCCGACGAGCCGCTGTGAGATGTTTGTTTGGACGAGGCCGGTGAAGGCGAGCCGAGCCGACGCCGTCTGCTTATGGCCGTCTGGTGTGTAAAAGCAAACGGAGCCGTTGGTGTGGAGGCCGATGAACGCCGCGGCGGCTTCAGAGAACATCATGAAACGCACAGGACTGTCACAGGAGAAGTGCTGCGTGGGGTGGAGAGTGTGAGTGAACACATCGTGGTCTCTCTTTTTCACCTGAAGGAAGAAAAGAGAGAACGAGATCTGAAAACACAGACAGAAGGTGAACGCCATGCAGACTCACTCTACCTGTCCCGTAGCTACAATTCTACAATTCACTTATCAGACTCTTTTATCCAAAGCGACGTACATCAGAGAGTAAGAACAACACGAGCAAGGATCTAGAAAAAAGGGAACAATGTGAGTAAGAGCAAACGATCAGCTTTGAGTCTGATTGGAAACAGAAACCATCATCATTACCATCATCATCATCAATAATATGGAGACCATCATCATTAAGTTAGTAGGTATTCATAAAGAGCTGGCTCTTTAGCTTTTTCTTAAAGGTGCAGAGGGACTCTGCAGATCACATGGAGTTTGGTTAGCTGGCTTCACCTTTTCTTTGAAGGACGTCTGCTCTCCGAGTATCCTCCCATCTGATGTTCCATGTTCTTGAGGTTGTAGCCCCCGATCAGGACTGGGGAGTACTACTGTTGTACCGGGTATCACCATCGTCACCACTTTCTTCTTTTTTTATATTTGGCTTTAAGACACTGTCTCTCCTCCCACCCTCTGGAAGCAGATACAGGACCATCAAAACAAACACAAACACACTGAGGAACTATTTCTTTCCAGAGGCATTAAGGCCCCGCCCACTTTGTCAAGAAAAAGCTGGTACCCCCCCACAGGATAAAATCCCAACAGAATAGATCTACACACACTCCTCTTACCATAAGACCTTTGTATTAACTATCCAGGAAGTGTTTATCATGCTTTTAGTCAATATGTGTCAACTGTGTTTTGTCCTCTTTTTTCAAAAATGACAGAGTCTAGCCTCGGCACAGCTTGGACAGTTTCATTTATTAAAGGGTAGCTTATGATATTGACAAAGTATTGAATAGGTTATTTAAGGGTAATTCTTAAGCATCTGATGTTATACAATCCACTGGCTATGTATATCGCCTAACAACATATATATCATCATCATCATCATCATCATCATTATCATCATCTTAGACTCAGGAGTCCATCAGAAAACATATAAAAAACAAGCAAAATAAAAACACATACAGACAAAACATCACCAACATTATAAAAGACAACTGTACCAGTGTCACCACAAGGAGGACTGGTATCACACAGAACTATGACTGGTATCACACAGAACTATGACTGGTATCACACAGAACTATGACTGGTATCACACAGAACTATGACTGGTATCACACAGAACTATGACTGGTATCACACAGAACTATGACTGGTATCACACAGAACTATGACTGGTATCACACAGAACTATGACTGGTATCACACAGAACTATGACTGGTATCACACAGAACTATGACTGGTATCACACAGAACTATGACTGGTATCACACAGAACTATGACTGGGATTAGTCAACAGCATAATGATGGAATTCTGAGAATCAGATGTCATTTGTACATTAAGTTTCTCATAAGAGCCTGAAAATTGTTTACTCCTTCATCACAAAATAACTCACTCACACTAGTCCATGGAGGTTTTTTAAACAGTATTCTCAGGGAGTCATTATATACAACTTTAAGCTTTTGTAAGCTTAACTTTTTAAAGCCTTTTATATATATTTTTAATCATTTGTTCAGGCTGAATATGGCCACAGAAAAGAACATCCTAATGTCCCTTGACACTGAGCTCTTTATGGATAGAGTTGCAGAAACCAGTGATGAGTAAACTTTTCTTTAAGTACATTTTCATTAACAACCTATAAACAAAGTTTCTATCCTCCAAGTTCAAGTTCATTTAGGTTAGCCTTCTTTGAGAGTGTTCTGAAATACTTTTGTTTTGTTATAAATCACTGATTGTTAAATGTTATCATCTGTGAATATCTTCAGTCTAGCAGGCTTGTGGGATTGTATCTTGAAATGATGGCAAGTGGTTATTTAAACACGAAATCATGTATCAGCTGTGGGCCTAAATTTTGGAAAAAGTCCAAAATTAGCCCCAGTCTGTCCCTGGGGGGGTCCCTGTCCCTGGGGGGGTCCCTGTCCCTGCGGGGGTCCCTGTCCCTGCGGGGGTCCCTGTCCCTGCGGGGGGTCCCTGTCCCTGGGGGGGTCCCTGTCCCTGCGGGGGTCCCTGTCCCTGCGGGGGTCCCTGTCCCTGGGGGGGTCCCCGTCCCCACTTTGGGAACAGGTGCTCGACTGTCTGCTCTGTTTGGAGCTCCACAAAGACTAAAGGTGCTTACTCAGGGACTATACTTGAATACAAAAGGGGCACGGTGGCCTAGTGGTTGGTGTGCGTGCCCCATTTGCAGAAGCTGTGGTCACTCTGGCAGACGGTGCGGGTTCAAGTCCGACCTGTGGCTCCTTTTCTCTCTAAAATAAAAACCTGTACTTGAGCATGAGCTAACTAACAGTTTCCTGTTTTAATTTGATATTAAAAGTTTGTTGGTCTGAAACACTTATTGAACCACAGACACGAACACCGAATAAAAAGATACACTCACCTCTTCAGCTGAGAGCTTACCTTCAGAATCCACCTGAAGAAGTTACAGATTTTAAATCACCAGGTGTCAACCTCCCAGCGTCAGGTGCTTCAGACCCCGGATGTAAGTCCCGTGACTTTTAATCTGCGACTCTTTCATTTCATAAACTTTTAAAATCAGCCCCACCAAAAGTTCAAGTAAAGTTTGTTCAGAGCCGCAGTGTCCGCGAGTGCGGCCCCGTGTTGCTATGGTTACGAGTCGCTCGGTAACTTCCCCGTGTTGCTATGGTTACGAGTCGCTCGGTAACTTCCCCGTGTTGCTATGGTTACGAGTCGCTCGGTAACTTCCCCGTGTTGCTATGGTTACGAGTCGCTCGGTAACTTCCCCGTGTTGCTATGGTTACGAGTCGCTCGGTAACTTCCCCGTGTTGCTATGGTTACGAGTCGCTCGGTAGCGAAATAATTAAGTTCTTGTTGTTTTGATTTCTGGCCCTTGTTGATTCTTTTTGTCTTTGCTCCAGTTTGTTGTCTGCCTGATATTTACTTTTGGAAAAGTTTGATTTTTATTCATTTATTTTTTATAGCAAAATAATATTTATAAAATAAAATAATTTTAAAAACTTTTAAGAAGTGCTGTAGTTAAAAAACACACTGAACAACGTCACACTACCTTTGTACGACGGAGGATTAGAGCCATGTTACATTTTTATTTTATTTTTTATTTCAAGATTAAACTCGTAAATTTACGACTTTAATCTCAAAATTATTATTTTTTTTAACTTAATCCTCCGTCGTTCCTTTGTGTATTTTGGAAATTAACAAAATAACTTTCCTTTTTAAAAACACGATCAGGGCTGAGGTATAACCAGTTTATTTTTATATAAAACTATACGTGTTGATCAGGTACAAATCTTTGACAAACAGTAGAAATATTTACATGTTTTTACTTTCTGTATGAAACACATGAAGTTAGCTGGTTGTCTGTGGGGAATCTTTGGTGTCCTCTCTGAGCTGTCAATGCAAACATGTTCACTCAGGTTTAAAGGTGTCTTCACTTTACGATGTGTGATCTTTGTGCTCGTCTGAAGTTCATCCGTCCAGAAGAAGAAGTCACATCAGCAGAGTTTCAGAAGGCGTCGCCCATCACACTTTCTAACTTCTCCTCTTCTGCCATCACAGGAACAGTAAACTTTCTGGAGAAATACAGCATTTCTATTTTCCCTGACTCGTGTGCCAGCCCGATTCCTGAGTATGTGTTGTGTTGTCCCGAGTCTCCAAACGTGGCCACGGCCGTCACCCTGAGGAGAGAACACAACGTTTACAGCGAACAGCAGCGGGACAGAAGAGAGGCTCCAGCAGTGACTGTCTGCTGTTACCTGTCACTGTGAATCCTCTCCGTCACCACAGGCTCAGAGTCGCTGCTCATCAGGTCCCAGATGTGCAGCTTAGAGGCGCCGTCCAGGGCACAGAAGACTGCTGGTCTGGTTTTGGTCCAGTGCAGCGACACCACAGCTTCACCTGCTGTCCACTGGGCCACAGGCTGCTCATGACTCACTGCATGCAGCCTGATGCTGCCATCACTGCAACCCACCTGGAGGAAAACCATTCAGAGTATCATCAGAGCTTTAGTTCATGTTTACAGCAGTTCAATCTATTGTGTGCATATCATGAATCACTTGCAGGCCACATCTCTTAAATGTTCTTTATTTAAAGTCTTTATTTGTGATTTTTCACCCTTAAATGTAGAAATCAAGTTTCTCCTCTGAAAATAACTCTGTGAGTCATGACTGTCTACAATGGGTGTAACACCCGAGTCCCACTGTCTGTGATGTTTTCAGAGTTTTCAGAGTCCTATCTTCACTTTGTTTACATCGCCCGGCTGGCCGGCTGACTCCTCCCCTCGTGTATAAAAGTTGTTTAATTGAGGGACTAGAGAAAAGAAGAATAACATACTGTACTCACTGCTTAACTGTGTTTCTAGATCACGCTCATTTCAGGTAAATTTACATGCAGTGTGAAGATACCAGCATAATAAAGATCACTAGCATTAGCATGCTAACACAACAATGCAGCGCCAGTTGTTTTGGTTTCATGCTGGAGCTCAAGGGCGACATCTGCTGGATCAAACATCACATATAAAGACTTTAAAGAAAGAGTTCTCTCTCACCAGGAACAAATGAGACACAAAGGGATTAAAGCTGATGGAGGTGACATCAACAGGTCGGGGTCCAGCCTCCTGAAACCTGTAGAACTTTGGAGGAGCCTTCAGACCATGACTTGTTCCATGAGTGACCAGACCCTGCACAGAGAAGAGGTTTAGCATTCAGTCATTGGAGTGCATGATCGGGCCTCTTATGTTAAAAAAAGAAGAAGATTAAGCTCACCATATTGGTGCCGATAAAGAAATGATTGCAGTCTGTGGGGAGGAACTTTAAATGTTGAGTCTGTGATGGTCCTGTGGTCAAAGCATCGTGAGGGGACACCCTGAAAAACCACGAGAGAGGGACACAGGGCAGAACCAGAGGAGCGGTGTTACAGAGGAAACAACACAGGAACCCCATAAGACATCACACTGACTGAATACATCAAACGTGGAGGTGACATAAACAACAGCTCAGGACGCAGCAAACAAGATCCCCCCCCCCCCAAGCAGCTGTGCTCCTCTGGGGGACACATCGTGGGGTAGTTTGAGCCCGGAGGCTGGCAGTGACGGATGATGCATCACAAGCTGTTTAATAAAATCTCACCTCTCAGCAGTGAGGAGCGAGGAGCTGTGAAGGAGCTTGACTTTTCCCCCCGGCCTGAGCCCTGTAGGAGAGAACCAGAGGGGGAGGGGGGGGGGGGGGGGGGGGGGGGGGGGGGGAGAGAGACACTGGTCACCACATGTGAGAGAGAAAGAAAAAGAGGGAGGTGTTGGAAAATGTGACCGCCTTACCGAGGTCTGTTGGGGAGCCGGCCTCGTTGGCTTTTGGGAGTTCCACTACCACCTAAAGGACAGGAAGAGGAAGTCATGTTAATGTGTCACTTCCTCTTTTGGGTCGACAGAAACATGAACTACAAGTGAAGTTCTGGAGTTGTTAGTGCGATAGTCTGTAAATATAACAACAAACCTCCATGTTGTTTTTAGAACAATGGCATCCACCTGTCACTTTCAGCTCACATCCTTCACTCCTCGACCCCCTTCAACTCCCCCCCCCCCCCCGCTGGAG